TGATAAGATGGAAGGAACTGTTTACTCCGCAATCATACTTGTAATTAGTCAGTTCATACAACTGTTAACATATACTGATCTTGTTTAGGCTTATCTGTCTTCGCTGTGATCGCTTTGCTTCTGACTTGCAGCGTACACTTTGTGAAAAAGTATGCTCGTTACAGAGCCAACGAAGGTAACTCATACTCTTCATCTATAAAATAACTGAATTATCATTATTTCAGACCATGTCCCTGTGCTTCCGCCTCAGGAGCTGGTTGTCGAAGCTCTCAAGCACAAGTGTACCGAGCAGAGTGACTTCTACGTTATGTCCTTCTGAATGAGTTGATCTCAGACGTTTTATCTGTTTTTATCGGGTTTTAGTTCTAAAGTTTTAGAATTTTACTTTGTTTTGTGTCGTTTTAAAGAGGAGTAAACAGTCGTGTACACCTTTGTTCATCTTTTAACAAACTGTCTTTCATCAGTTTCGTACTTGTTGCATTGCTTTCGGTGTTTCATGAGATGGTTAAGGATTCGTAAGAACGATGGAGACGGTTTTTATTTCATAATTATTTTATTCAAACAGGCCCATGTTCATAAAAAAATGACAAAAGTGTCTATAGTTATAAGCAGGTTTAACATAAATTATTCTTATGGGAATTTTCAAAAGTTCACGGAAATCACAACCAACAACGTTGCATTAATCAGATTGAGTTTAAACAATTGCTTTTTTTGAATCATCGGCTAAATTAGAAGTTGATTCTTCTGTATCTATACTGTCTTCGTCCTCATTTTTTGGAAGGTTTTCACTGGAACCGGGAATAGCGAATGTTGATCTCATCCTTATATTTTCACGAGTAACTCTGGACTTTCCACCTCTGAAATTATAGATTAAGTTAGGGCATAGCTTGCTTGCTACCTTAAGCTATTAGTTTCTCTCGTTAAAGTATCAACGGCTTCATGCAGATCGTCGATTTCGCGAGCTTGGTTTCGTCCCTTTGTTCTTTCTCTAGTCATCTCCTCTTCCATCTCATCCAGCTGGCGACGAAGTGCTCTATTTCTTAAATTAGTTCTTTCCACCTGAAACTCAGAGTTGAGTTCTTGTTGGTTTTTATGAATCATACCATTTCTTTCTGTTGTTCAACATTTCTTCTCTCATCTTCCAATTGCTGTTGTAAATCTACAACACGTTTTTCGAAACGTCTAAATATGCTTATCAAAAAGGCATTAAACTGTATTCAACTACTTCATATTCCTAACAGCTGTGGTTCTCTCTATTCCTTCAGTCTGTAATTGCTCTTCCATGTGTTGTATTTTGGCTTCAAGAGCGCTAATTTGAGCCCTGATTCTCGATTGAGCAGTTGATTCCAATTCAGCAATCTGGAAACAATTTTTTGATAAAACGTTCTATATTCAGTTGTAAACCTTAGCCTTGAATTCTCTGTTTTGTCTTTCTAAGTTTATCCTTTCTCCTTCGGTTTTTTGTAAGTTAGATCTTTCCATAGAAAGTTCGGTTGTTAACTGTTCGACTTGAAGCTGAGCCTTTCTCTGTTTGTCTAGAGCGATCTCTGAGTTGCTCTGTTCTTCATCCAGCTCTTCTTCCAACATTGCAATTTTCTGTTCTAATCGTCGTTTTTCATCGGGATAACCAGATCCTCCTCGGCTGCGAGACTCTTCAAGTTCTTCCAATGCCAATTCCAAATGTTTCTTCTGGTTCAAAAGTGTTTCATTACTTTCTTTCAGAGTTTTGATCTCAGTTTCAGCAGATCTGAAAAATACGATATGAAAACCAGAAAATACTCATATTCCAACCTTAATCGTCTTTCAACTTCTCTTAAATGAGCAGAAATATCTTCCTTTGTTTGTCTGGCCTCTTCGCTATCATGTTGATACTCTTTCATCATTTGCTGGTTTTTGCGGAGTTGTTTCAAATAGTCATCCCGTAATCTATTGGCAGCTTCTAATTGTTGCTCAAGTTCCGCAATTTGACCTTCCATCTTCTTTCTCTGGGCCAAAGCTCCAGTTCGCACCCGTTTTTCATTTTCTAACTCTATTTCCATTTCTCTTAATTGTTTTGTTAAGAGTCTTCTCTTTTCTTCAGATTCCTGAAACCAAGAAATTGTCTCTTTATTTTAATTTGAGGGATCTTACTTGATCTTTAGAGGAAAGAGTACGTTCCTGCTCAGCCTTTAAAGCTTGTAGGTTCACTTCAAGACGTAATCTTCCATCTTCCGATATTTGCACTGCGTCTTCTAACTCTTCATTTGTTGCCCGTAGATCGGCTAAGTCTTGCTCCAATTGACGTTTAGCTTTTTCCAAGTCATGAACATTCTTTCCAACATCATCTTTAGAGGATATCTATAAGAAAATGAGCTTATACGAACACGGAAAAGTTTTCTTACAAATTGTTCGAGCTCTAACTGCTGAGTTCTTCGAACGCGTTCATTATTTTCTAACTCAGCCTTCAAATCCTCAATCTCATTCACCATAGATAAAATCTTAGTTTCACGATCTCGAGACTCTTGAGCGAAAGCGTCTCTCTCGATTATAACCTACAAAAATTATAGTACAACTGATATAGATTTTCAGCTTACTCTTTGTACATTATTTCTCTCTTCATTCAACAATTGATCGAATTTCTTCTGTTTCTTATCGAGATCTCTTTGGGCAGATCGGAAGTTTTCTAACTCAATGATGGCATCATCCAACTGAAACGGTAAATTATGTACACACATTCATCCCTAAATTACCTCAAGCTGCATTTTCTTCTTGCTTTGTTGAATGCGCTCTCTCTGAGCTTCACTCTCACTAAGTTGACTATGAAGAGCTTCAACATCTCGTTGGAGACGTTTTTTCTGTTCGTCTTGAGCAAGAGCTTCTTCAACTTTACGTCTGCTGTCAAGGATTTGAGCTCTAAGGTTTTGAACTTCCTAAAATATATACACATTACATAGGCTCTCTATGTTTATTTACCTTCTCCAATTGCTGCTTAGCGATTTCAACTTGTTCCTTGTCCTCCAAAAGTTCTCTCTGTTCTTGTTCAAGCTGATTGACCCGTGTCATGCTAGCTATTTTAGCTCTATTTTCATCTTGAACTTGTTGAGTGAGTTGTGCGATTTCTTCTTCGAGGGCAAGAATTCGTCTTTGAAGAACGATTAACTGTAAGTCACTGCTTTCCGCGTTTCTGGTTAAGGCTTCCATCTCTTCTTTCATTTTCTCAAATTGGTCTTGAGAAACTTTACGCATCATCTCAGCATCGCCAAGTTGGTATTGAACATCCAATAGTTGTTGCTCAACTTGTTTCCTCTTCTTTTCGGATTCTGATCTAGATGACTGGGATTCAGAGAGAGCGTGAGCCAATTCTTCCTGGAACCAAATAAAGATTAAAGAAAAAATATAATGCTAATTTTACCCTTTGTTGTTCAGTTTCTTGTCTTGCTTTCTCTAGCTGTGATCTTATCTTTTTCTGCTGTTCAATCTGTTCGTGGAGATCTTCGATCGTTTTGACATATTTAGTTTTTTGCTCTTCGAGCTTGTGGTCCATTGCTCCTGATGTGGACGTCAAGAGATTTTTCAACTCCTTCACTTCGTCCTCCTTTCTCTTCATGATGTCTTGTAAGACACTGGTTTCACCAACTTTGTCGAGCATATCTTCTTTCACACGTTCTAACTGTGTTTGAGCTTCTCTGACAAAGAAAGAATACGTCATTATTCGAAACAAAGAGCAAACCTTCTCAAAGTTTCTGCTCTTGCTCTCAAATTTCTTTCTGCCTCCAAATCTTCATTGATCTCATCAACGGCACCATGAAGATCGCGGATTTGTTTTTGAAGAGAGTTAATTGTAGCTGTATCTTCATCTCCCCTGCAAATCAATATGAATCAAGTTATCATACAAAAAAGCTACTTTGTAAGCAATTGTGAAGATTCCTCCTCTCTTTTCAATAACTGAGCATGAAGCTCATCCATTTTGCTCTGTTTTTTGTCGACAGCCTCTCTGCTTTCTTCTAATTCACCAAGAAGTTTCCGCTTATTATGTTCGAGATCAGTGCGGAGTTGTCTCTCTCTTTGAAGTTCTTGTTCAACCAACTGAACATGATTCTCCATCTATAATGGTTATAATCATTATAGAGTGGGAAATAATGAATACGACAAACCTTTCCTTTCTGTTTTCCTACAGTCTTTGCTCTCTCAGCTTCTTCATTTAATTGGTTAGTCAATTGATGGACTCTGTCATCCAGGAACTTCTTCTCTTTACTGATTTTATCCCAGGCGTCTTGCATCTCGACCAATTTAGCTTCAACAGTTTTAGCTCGTTGATCAGCATTGACTTTATCGAGTTGCATTTTCTGTCTGGCTTGTTCTTCTTGCTCTAACTGCTCTTCAAGATCTCTGACAGTTTCAGATAACTTTCGTTTCTCGTCATTCATGTTTTGAACGCGTTGTTCTTCTTCCATTATGCGCTCACGCATTTCAGTGACCAATTCTTCCAATTCATTTTTCTGAACAAATTTTTATTTCCAACAGATATCGTTTAGTTAGCTCACCTTTATACTTAATCTGTTTTTGGTTTCTTCCAGCTCAGCACTTCCATCAGCTTCCTGCTGTAACTGTTCTTGAAGGATGTTACGTTCTGCCATCAATTGTTCCATTCGGGTATTGTATTCTGTTTGTTCAACTTCTATCTTGTCCAGTTTCTCTTTCAAAATCTTGAGCTCATCTTCTTTAGCAGCCATTGCAGCATTATGATTGATAACAGTCAATAATGGCTTCACCTATAACATATTATGACGATAAGTATGAAAAGTCAGTGAAATATACCTTAGTGAATAGTCTCCACCATTGCCAGTTTCTCAGTTTTAGCCAAGCCAGACCGTTTCGTTGGAGAACTCTTATAGCATTAGATTGTTGCATCTAAACAAATGATATTACGAAAACGAGTCCATTCAATCAACTCACTCTCTTGAGATAAAGTCGGCGAGCTAAGTAAGCTCTACATTCTGCTTGGAATTGAATAATCAAATCCGTTAACTTCAAATCTCTGAAAGATGACACTAGACACGAGAACAGATTCTTGTTATACCTTTCCTCTTCCAAATGAGCTAATACTCCTGTTCTGAAAAAGATTTTGGATTGTCCAATTCTGTACAATTTAGATTCGATGTCTAAAGCTTCAATCATCATTCTAAAAGTACAGGTAAGATTATCTATTACAAAGCTGTTTTCTCACTTGACTGCTTCTTTACCATCCATGAAGCCTTTAGGAATGGCATTAGGTGTGAGGAGTTCATAACGTTGACGGAACTCTTGGAATGGTATACGATTAGGGAATCCTTGACGGCAAATACGAATTCCTTCTAAGACTCCATTGCAACGCAACTGTTCGAGAACGAGCATGGAGTTGATTTTTCCTGCCTTCTTCTCGTGATTAGGAATGATACAACGAACAAAGTGAGGGCTTGTGTTTCTAAGAGTAGTCATCAAGCGTGACAACTGCTCTTTATGCAAATGTGACACAGTTCTGAACATTCCCTTCTTTGATCTAGCTCCGAAAGCTGTCTCATTGATTTCTGTAGCACAAATACCGGCAAACTCAGCTGAAACAGGTCAATAAGTTCAGTGTCAAGATATCCAAGCTTACCATCTTTCCACATTCCACAAACAAAAGGTTCAGTAGAGTTTTGAAGAAGTTGAACAACATTTTCGTTCAATGGATCCATATTCTTCATAAGCCACTGATCGGCAGAATAATCTACTCTGCCTGCGTAGTGAACAACAGCGAAGTCAGATTTAGCTCTCATGTCAGGAACGATGAACTTTGGATGTGGAGTATGAGTTTTGTGCAACTTGTTAACAAGTGTCTTCTCAGTAGCTTTAGGGAAAAGACATTCCTCATCAATAAGAGCAAGAATACCCATTGGCTGAAAGCAAAAAAGATATATAGTTCAAGTTACGAATTGTTACCTTCTCGATCAAATCAATAGTTGGCTGAAGATCTAATCCAAAGTCAATGAACTGCCAATCAATTCCTTCTCTTTGGTATTCTTCTTGTTCCATTACAAACATGGTGTTGTTGAATAACTGCTGAAGCTTCTCATTTGTGTAATTAATGCACAATTGTTCGAAAGAGTTAATATCGAAGATTTCAAAACTGAAATATGCATTATCGTGATTTATGCTCTTATATTCCTTTTTTACCCAGCAATATCCAAGATTCCGATGAAAGATGCTCCTTGTCTTCGTGTGCGATCTAATGATTTGTTGATTCTACCAACCAGCCACTTGAACATTCGTTCATAACATGCTTTACTGATAGCTTCGACAGCAAACACAGTTTGATCCTTGTTTTGAGCTTTGTTAACATATTCGCGTCCGACTTTGATTCTTGGACGTAAGAATGCCTTTGTGAGCTCAATAACTGGCAATCCCAATAGATGACACACTTTTTGCATTACTAGAAACTCATAATGATTAAAAATAAGATATCGTGAAGCTACCTCTGTCATCAGGAAGGATAGCTTGGTCTGATTTCTTTTCTTGAACAAATTCCAAGTTACCCATCAACATAGCGGCAGAAACAATGCGGAATACAGCTAAAACAAGAAATGAGAAACACATAAGTGTGAATAGTCTTACATTTAATTTCATCTTCATGGAAACCCATTATTCTCATTGATTTTAATGTATTATGATATTCTTGAGCATCATCAACGTTTGGAAGAGTAATATTTCCGTTAACCAAAAACCGGTACTTGTCAGCACTATCTTCCAATAAGTAATAATCTGTAAGTCATTTGTTGATGAGATCGTATCCAGTAGTTCACTTACTCTTCTCTTCACTGTTTGTTCCACGAAGGAATTGATAAAAGATATGGAAACTACGCTCATCTAAAGCTTGTCGTAGTGTTCTGGACTTTTCGAGAAGATAAAATTCAATATTTGCTCCAGAGATATATCCAGACATATCAAAGTTGATTCTGATGAACTTTCCCTAAAATTCTGTTTGTTATCAGCTTTACAAGCGGAAAAACATACGAAACGGGAAGAGTTGTCATTCTTGACTGTTTTGGAGTTACCAAAGGCTTCGAGAATGGGATTAGCTTGAAGAAGTTGCTGCTCTAATTCTCCCTATAAGAATGAAAATAAATATCTAGTCACATGTTAGGTTTCACCTTTGCTGGTGTGACGGTAGAGTACTGCTTACACTTTGTTACTCCAGCCACTTGAGCTAAGTATTGAATAACTTTCTTGGTGTTTTCTGTTTTTCCTGCTCCAGATTCTCCAGTACAGAGAATAGATTGATCTTCACGCTCTTGAAGCATAGATTTATAGGCACAATCGGCAATAGCGAAGATGTGTGGAGGCATTTCATGTCTCTTCTTTCCACGGAATTCTTCGATTAATTTATCAGAATATATTGGCAATCGTTTATATGGATTAATAACTACACAGAAAAGACCCGAATAAGTCTGAAAGAATTAGATTTATAAGATTCAAGCTGCGTAGGAACTTACGTAAATCAATGAACTGAAATAGCGTTCCTTCAAATTATGCAAGACGGACGCTTCATTCAAATATGTTAGTTCTGACATATCTTCGACCTGAAACAATCATTCGTTTGCAACTTGTTATGCTCTACTCTCAACAAACCTTGTCGAACTTTGGAGGATTTGCTTTTTGAATATCATCTTTACTGATTGTAACAACTTTGCCTGTTTCGCAAATTTCTGCTACGACCTCATCATTTGTTTCGTTTCTGAAGCATATAAGGTTGCTATGTAATTACGTATGCTTTCCAAAATTTTCTCTTTTGCTCGCAACTCTTGGCCATTCTCAAAAGCTTTGATTCTCATCCGTAAATCAATATGATCGAACATCTAATGCTCAACTACAGTCCTATAATTCTTATATTTTTTGAACGATATCAGATGAGTTCAGCGTGTCTTCTTGAAGTACTCGTTCTCTCCTAGCAGCTTTTTGACATGAAAATGTAAATATGTCGGCAAATATAGGATTATTGCTGACAAAGCAACATTATTGACATTTCCCGATGAGCTGCACTTCATTTCGGGACTTCACTATCTTCTCATGGTTTATTATTATCCTTTTCTTTTCTTCTCCTCTCACTCTCTACTCATACAAACTGCGAAAAACTTTTGAACAAAAATTTTTCTCCTTTTCTCTGTGAAAACAGCGCAAAATAAATAATATTCTTAAGGCGTTACGTACTTAATCGATCCTAAAACAAATCCTTCAGTTTCATGAGGAACCCAACATAGCTTTTTTCCAGCCCATTCTGCAGCACGGGTAGGATCTGCAACAGCTTGACGTTGAACCTGCAGATAGCGCAGGTCCGATTCAAGTTCCATTAAAACCTATAATAACTATATATAGTAATATAATTAAAATATAAACAAATAAAAAAGATGTTACAATAGAAGAATTGTAATATAGAATGAGGAGAGGGGGGGGGGAATGTATGAATGAAAATTCTTGGAAAAGTAGGCGGTGATGAGTTGATGAATAACATCTATTTAGTCATTTTATAAAACAAAATACACGTATCTCAAAACTTGAGATGTAATACTGATATCATAAGTATTGAAATTTCGTATGATTGTAAAACAATGATTCATTGCATGCACATGATATGTTGGAAAAATGAAAAATTCACAATCTGACTGTGCTGCATGTAACTCATCGTTCACGACTCAAACATATTGTTTCATCACGGGGGGAAAAATTATTTTTAAAACAAGAAACAAAGATGATGATGATTCATATGAATATATATATAAATATATATATATATATATATATATATATATATTGTATACATGGGTTGTATGATGTATGGGTATGGGAAACGGTATGAAGACGAATAAGAAGGATGAGAGAGAGAAAAAAAACTGAAATTATAGATAAAGAGAATTGGAAGAGGAATTCAACATACAGATTGTTTGTATCGTTATCATTTTATAGTTGAAATAGCATACATATGCTTTATCAGTAATAAAGCATTAACAAGACAATCACATACAATCATACTCACATGCATAAGCATTCTTGGTAACATCATCTAACAAGCGATTCTCATTAACTCTTCATTCTATATCTATTCTCATCTATTTCACATATTTTAACTTGATTGATTACTCTTTACACACAATGAAGAACTATCACGAAAAATTCAAAAAAAAAAAAAGAGAAAAGTTGTAGGAGTTGTAACAACTAACACTCTATCCCACACACACAAAATATTTAAAGAAAAGATTTGGAACTAAAGGAATATGCACATTATGAGGTTAAGTTAATTCTTTCTTCAGACGTCTACTACATATATATATATATATGTATTGATAACTTTTTTCAACTTTCTCTCTTTCTCTCTCTCCTTCAGTTCAATGAATGGAACAAAAAATAGAAAGAGAGAGAGAGAGAGATAATAATATATTTCACAAGTATTACTGTAGTATACATAGTACGCGATATATATTATGATCATATCAATGATATTTGAATTGATATTCAATGTGAAATATCATGATATATTGCTTTGAATAATAATAGACAGAAAAAAAAACACTTGAAAAATGATTTTTCAAGAAGTTAGATAAACAGTTGAAAGTTCTTGTTTCATCTCATACACATAGCAACATGGGTGGTATTTGGGGGTAATAAAATATTTTTTTATATATCTAGTCATATAACATCAAACATGATCATGATGATCATCTTCATCTTTACTCCTTCAGTCAAGATATAAGGTGATCGGAAATAGAGAAATATATATGAATAGACATAGAATAGTCAAGGCCAATATGATATTTGAGGGCCAAAAACAGTTATTGGTACTAGCTCACTCATTCCTCTCACACATCCAAAGACACACTCATCTCTCGTTTGTTTTCTATCATCTTTCTCCTTTACCTTGCACATCGTTTCTTACGTGTTCCATCATATCTATGCAGCGTTAGAGATGTTAGAGATTATCTATGTCACCTCTGATATATCTTTGATATAAAGATGTATATCGTATCATGCATTATATAATCCTAAATGTATACGAAAGATTAATACCTTACAAAGAATCTATACACCTCATGATTTTTCACCCGTCAATCTTAACCTCTCACCTATGCTATCTCTCTCTCTCTCTCTATATTTTCCCTCTCTTTCCCTTCCTACACCTCCTTCTTCTTCTTCTTCTTCATTCCTTCCATCACCAACACACCCCACAAGAAAATGTTTAAAAGACACTAAAGTAAACAGACTAAAAAAAGCAAAGTTGACTGAGCGTGATTGTGATGCACACTTTTCCATACTATTGTTTACGTACAATCCTTTCTTACATCGAAGAAAAAAAGAATAAACTATTTAAAAAAGCAAGAACATTCTGTCTATTTCACTTTCGCAGTTACTGACCAAAGGGATAGACAATCATATCCAATGACTCATCAACAACTATTTTATGGTTCTTAAAACGAAAATTGAGAGTTTAAAAATATATGAAATAAAAAAAAGGATTTCGTAACATAATCCCATTGCTCTCTCTCTCTCTCTCTTTTTTTTTAAATGAAAACTCTCTCTTTATAAATATAAAGAGAGAAAGGGAGAGGGAGGTAAAGATGGAAGAAGAATATGGTTAGTTTAAAAAGATTATATAAAGCGTTTCATGCAAAATGATAATAATATATAAAAGTAATACAATACGCATTGTGTACAATGCACAACATTCGTTATAGGACGCTCCTCCAGACTTTGACCTTTGCGTCTACTGCGTATTATATATATATTGACCCAGCACGTTCATAATCTGCCACCATCGACCTAGAACCCTGCTGCCCTCATTTATTTGTAACAAGTAAATATGGTAAAGAGTGTGAGATTATTTTCTTTTGTTTTATCCATTCACACAACCATGACGATATATGATAGAAAATCAAATAGATAGTATCATATGTATATTAAAAAATACTTTATAAGAATATCGTTATCTCTCTCTCTCTCGTTCTTTCTTTCTAAATATATTAATTGAATGATTAATTATACGTCGCGCCCACACATTCATCTGCGCGTGCCTACCATGACGAAAAGCTGATTATTAATAAGGAATTTCTTTTTTTTTTTTTGATACACAAATAAATCAAAATCAATATTGAAAGCATGCAATAGGGAAAGCTAGATAGTATGGATCATATGATTTGAACAGTGAAGTATAGAGCATTAGCCATAAAAGGAATTAGATGATTAGAACTTGAATGACAGTCAAGCATTCAAGATAGATTTTCTTCTTTCATCTTACCGCCTACATTATATAATGTAATTTAAGCATCATTATCAACCTTTTTCCCAGAGTATTATAAATCCAAATACATCTTATTGTGATGGATAAAGAGAGAGAGAGAGTGAGAGATGTATTGGATGTATGAGAGATTTAATGACCTTTACAGATTATAATGAGCTATTTTCATTACAAAACTGGTCTCACACAACTCATATTCTTCTAAAAATACCTTTTAAATGATGTGAGTATCCTTCAACATAGACAATTTGAAAGAAATATGTGTGTGTGTCTGTGTGTGTGTGTATTGACTATGAGGTCGATAATGGAACTGCTCTTAATTCTCAAAACAATGGATTAGTGACTTCGATTTTCTTTTCTTCAATCATTTGAAGTAGTTTTCTTTTAAGTTTTTATTTCTCATTCTTCTTCCTTTTTTGAAATACACAAAAAATAAAGTATCAAACAGAGAGGTTCAAGGTGAATGAAAATCAAAATAGAGCGCAGAAAGAATGCAAAATAGCGAACAGATGGACATTTTTAGCGCCTTTTTTTTCTCATTTCGTAGAATAGTTTGAAGATGAAGAGAGAGAATGAAAGAGAGATATAGAGAGTGAGAGAGAGACTTTGAAAGAGAGAGAGAGACTATAAAGAGATAATAAAAAAAGAAAGACTGAATGGGATAAAACTGAACTTAGAGTGACAGTATGATAATTGCAGATGTTTGACTGTATTCAAACATTTACCACAAAGACACATTGATTGAAGCTAAGCGGCAGGTTTGTGAGGAGGATTTGCAACAAATACAAAAGAAAAATATCCATTACTTCAAATCACAACGACCTCCATAGACTCAAGGACAATAGCAAGATGTTTTGTAAATGAGATATGTTATAGAAGGAGGTGGTGGTGGTAGGGGAGCAGATTTAGAAGGCAGGAAGAAGAAGAAGAAGTTTGTTTGAGAGAATGACATTTATCCATGTTTCTTTTTTGTGTTAAGATCTTTGATCAAATGTCGACAAGTATTTCATCATTTCATTAATTTTTTGGACTGGCTCTATAGAGGAGATGATGGGGGGGATTTGTCTCAAGGCGACACTAGAAGAAGATGATGAACGGCCTAAGAGATTTTCTAGATCGAGAAGTAACAAGTTGATATAAGAATGATTTGCAATGAAAATGGAAAAGTCGAGAAGATGGAATGGGAAGAAGAAGAAGAAGAAAAAAAAAGTTTTTCTATAGGGGGTGAGTGTTCGTTTGTTCTCTCTTTGAATTGAAGAAATATTCAAAACATACAGTAATCGACGATAAGCAGTCACTTATGGAACTTACTTCTTAAGATGTAGGAAAATATAATAATTTGAATGAAATATTAAACAATACTGTTGAAGGAATTGGCTTTGGAGAAAAAAAAGAGAATGACAGACAGAAAGAGCGAAAGTATATGTATGCGTATGTGTGTGTGTGTCTGTCGCACCAGATGATGTGTTCATATTGGACAAAGGTTGAAAAGAGAGGGCTGAGGACGGTCAATTGTGTTGGCGAAATAACAGGCCGCGAACAGAGAGTATCCGTATACAGGTAGGTTCGAACGGATCAATCAATTGCGCTAGATGTACGAGAGAGAAAGAGAGAAAGAGAGAGAGATGTGACGAAAATGAGCAAACTAGGAAAGGAAGGTGGGGAGGGGGGGAGGCAATGTAGATGAAATAAAAAGGGTTGGGAGAGGAGGTTGTGTGTGTGGGGGCAAAAGAAATGAACGTTTTCTTTTCTTGTAATACAAGTATGAATGTAAATATAAGGAAATGTCTATGTGATTCAGAAGTTGAAATACCGTCCAATGACCAGAATCGTGGGGAAGAAATGAAATCAAAAGTTGACGTCATAAGGTAAAGTTAACTTGATTCATCGAGTAAAAGAGACAATGAGAGAGGAAAAAAACTTTTTTTTGAGCTCAATCATCGATAGGTGGTTAACAGACAATATGAATATTTATTTTTCTCGTCGTATTAATACATCTTTGAATAAATACATATTTTTGAGGTTAAAAATCAATAGTCAATAGATAGATTGGAAGAATGGAAA